GCTGCTTTGCCGTTTAAGAGCCTGCTCGGTCCTTCGAATAGATAGAAATGACCAACAGTGAAATATTCGTAAGATTGAGGAAATGCAGAGGACACGAATCCTCTTCTCTGCGACTTCATTTTAGTTTGTTGTTGTATCATACAGCAGTAGAATTCTTGTCCCTGGATTTTTTTTTTGGGCGTGGGGTTAAGGTCAGGGTCAACACACGCCGACAGCTGGAGTTACTTAACATTTGAATTAATGTATTGTTTGTTAAATATCTTCCTGTAGTGGCCATGTGGGCTTTCGCTAATAAACTAGCCCACAATTTATCTACGTCGTGGCAAAGACTTGGCGTTGTTGTGTGTCTGTACGTGATGTTCGTCCCTCCGCGCGATTCAGGGACAGGTTTTAATGACATTCGGTACGGAAATGCTGTTGCAAGTTAGCATAAACTCGTACCTTTTTTTATAATTAATCAGCAATTAACAATACGAACGTTTTTGAGAATGGATCGATACTAGCGCGACTTAATTTGGTGTCCAGAAACAGAAGTAAAGCTTTAAGAGGCTTTTTGCCGGTCGTACGTTTTATTGTGTACAGTCGCTGTAAAGACGTTGTAACGGAGTACAGTCGCGTACAGAAATGAAGGCATTGGATGAAAGAAAGAAACCTTCCTGTAGTTGGAAAAGAAATTGTTTACAGGTTTTGGGAGGGTCGCACAACAGAACGTTTCAAGGCTTCGGGCATTCACAATGCAAAGACGCAGTCTGGGCCCTGTGTTGAACCTCTCCGATGAACAAAGAATCAAGCGACGTTTCAGCTCGTAAATCGGGTTGCAATTGTCTCAGGTTTCTTTTGTAAATAATGAAAAGTTGATTCATATATAAATCTTATGGCGCTTTGGAGTCGTGGTGTGTTGATTTCAATTCGTCTGTCGATCGATTGGATTTCTTTACACGAACTCTTTTTGTGGTAAAATCTGGGTTTGTAAGATTTTGAGGTTTTTCACAGCGGTGAGTGTGAAGATTTCTGTCTTCTGGGTTCTTGCGCTGTCGATGTTTGCCGACGTTTTTGTAGTTTACTATTCAGAACTCAGCCGTCGTGATGATGGAGGGAGTAAACCTCTGAAACGTCCCACTGCCCTCGTATAATTTGAGGCTTTACTAATATCTCCTCCTTGTTTACGAGTTTTTCAATGTCCTTGTGCACTTTTGCACGTATTTCTAGTGATTCGAAGATCTCTCAGAGCTGTAATGTTATTAAATGCTTGATATTGTGTTTCGATAAGAGAAAAACTTCCTTCTGAGCTTGTCAGAATAAAAACTAACTTTATTTTGAAAACTCTCGAAAGTTTTTTTGAACAATCTTTACTTAAAATAAAGCGATAATTGAATTGCGTCATCGGGAGGTCGAGGTCAGGAGTTGTATCAAAAGGGGATCAGGATGGCGTAGGCGTGTTATATTTTAATTAAAATGAATGCTTTTTAAAAAAACAACAGAATTGCTTTCTGTGGTGATGTAATGACGGTCTGGTTTCATTAGTGTTGCATTACTTATGTAAATTTTTCTACCTTTTTTGGTGCCTGTAACTTGTTTACAATTTGCCTATCTTGTGCCCAGTTTGTATCTTATTTTTGCCATTATCGTGAATTTTCTCAGAAACACACCAAAACACTTGATAAGCCAGCGTCAGTCACTGAGAATGTTTATCTTTCTAGCAACAGAGTCACCTTGAAGTCAGGTGGAATGGTTGTCGTGTTTCTGCGAACTCTGGCTCGGCGTCGTGAGTTCTCTTCTGAAAATGAGTGTTTCTGACAGCAAACAGCTGCTGGTGGTGTTCCAATCCTTTCTGATCTTGCAGTTTCAGCTTTAAAACTCGTGAGCCGACGTTTCGAAACACCCCCGGGGGGGTCATTCTCCTGCCCTTGGCAAGGGAACTCACCAGGAAGTGAACTTTGAAGGTCTCGACGTTGCATCTCTTGATTTTCGTGTTATGACCCTGGAATGACGCTTCGAGAGGTCGCCGATGACGAAGTGAGGCAGGCGGTGCATGACTGACTCCGCCCTCGATCGAAAAGTCTCTTCGTTTTTTCATACGCGCATAAGAAAACTCGTGGATCGCTGGGCTGAGTGTTTCGACTCTCGGCTTTCGGGGATAGAGAAAAACTTTAATTGCGGGTGCTTTACCACGTGACGTAGCACGGAAATTCCGTGAAACTGTTTTAACTTTAAAAATATTCGTTGAAAAACGACACTGAGATTCTCGTTGTTGCAGGGGATTGGCAGGACAGCTTCTTCAGGTTTCTAGAGAGTCTGATTGTTGTCCATGTAACTGCTGTATTTTTACGTGGTTTATGATTTGCAAGTTTGAAATTCCACATCATCATCATTTGCCTTGAAGGTTAGGTTGTGCTTTCTTCAGTCCAATAAATACAAGTGAACAAACTTCCCTTCAATTCGTGGTACTTCTGACCTCGCCATCCTTTCTCGTGCGACTAGTTTGAAATCGGAGGATGGCTGCCTTCTGGGTCGGTGCGCCGACGGCTCGGCGCAGAACCCAGAAGACGGCGGCCATCTTCGATCTCGCCGCCGTGAAAACCTCGAATCCTTCTTAGTTTGAAATACTGCGGTACCTCGCCCTTTTTTAGATTAGTTTTTATTTGTCGGTTTAATTCTTTTATGAAAAATAAAGATTTAATTACCTTTGAATATTTATTTTTCAGTTGACTGCCAACAATAGTTAATGAGTTTTCCCCTCACTTTTCGTATCAACAACGTGTCGGTAGCCAGAATACGTTTAATCAGTAATTTGCTTAAGGTTTGTTTATATATATGACTGCTACCCTAGAAAACATTTAATTATTTTAATTCTTATTCCGTAATCGTGCAGATGAAAGGGTTTTCAAAACGGTGTACAGCGAAAAAATCACTGTCTTCATCAAAATTTGTATTTTTACTCGTGAAACGAATTACCTTGTGACCAGAAAATAAATTCTGCTTTCTTTGTAATGGAGAAAAGAAATGAGACCCACTGAATTGTATTCACTTAAGTTTAGGGTTTAGTTTTAAGCTGCGGAGGAAAAATCTCTAGATCAAGTTTTTCCTGTACCGGTGTGTCGCCACGAGATTTTCTTTTTTTGTAAGACTGTGTACAGGGTGCCGCACGAAATAATACTTAATTAAAAGTCTGCACAAAAGCTTTTAAGTATTCACGTAAAAGAACAAATTAATGGAGGAACAGTTTTTCGTTAAGGAAACCCCGTAGGAGGAAGTGGCAGGGGTTTATCGGGGCTGTTGAGTAGTTGCTTGTGTCCACTACCATGGCAAGCAGGATGTCACGTGGACAGAACAAGAAAGTCTGCAGGAAACAGTACGAGACAGCGCACGTAGCCCCGTGTATGCCGCACGAATGTGTTCTTCGAATGTTTGCCGTCGAGTGAACGCGAATGTAGCCCCTCGTTTCTCGGAAGTTTTGAGGTGGTCGTATCGAGATGTTCTTTATCTTTATATATACACCATTGAAGCTTTTGTTTTAACTTTGAGTCGGGTGTAACCAGCCTGTACATTCGGACGTCATAGAAAAAAGGCCTTATCTTATCTTTAATAACTGGAATTCGTAACACGCACTCATAGGTTCATAATCGATAGTTTTATTAGACATGTGTTATGTTTTCATCTTATGGGACAATTATTTATATGTGGACACACATTTATGGCTCTGTAACGTTTTGTACCCCCCTTTCTGTGAATCGAAATCTTGTGGAGTTCCGTCTTGCGTATTGAAACAAATCAGGGTGTGCCACGGTTGAAGAAAGTTATTTAAATAATTTTTTAAAAAAATGTTATTCGACAGTTTACAGTGTTTTCATTTTTCTGACTTGAAAGGGCCCCCCCGCCCTCCGACCTCAAAACACAGAACTGGGGGGCATCCTTATATGTACTTCGATTGCCGGTACGTCGGATTTTCGTTTTTGCGATGGATTTTCGAGTTTTCGTGGGACTTCCCGTTACTGGGAAACTCCTACGTCAGAGTAAGTGAACCGTTCCGTTCCGAACAGAATTCAGTCTGAAGATGGCTGTCGTCTGGGTTGTCGCGCCGCGCAACCCAGGA